GCCCAGGCCCAGAGTTCAGACCCCATAACTGGACCCCCCCAAAAAAAGAAGAAAATTTTGTTTTGGACTGAGAATGTACTTAAAGCCAGACTCTGTACCTTCTATCTTCAGCCTTTCAGCTAGCTCTGTACATTCAGTGTACTTTCTCAAGGGTTCTGGCACCACGCTGGCTAACAACTCCATGTCAACATCCTCATACTTCAGAACATCCAGGGCTCTGCAAAGACAGGAAAGTTATGTAACACTGTGGCTATAAAGGAATTTTAAACAATTTTCAGCAAAAAGTAGTCCAGTTGCATCCACCTCTGGGTAGTATGTGGGATCAAATTCAGGTTAAAAGAGTACCAGTGCTTCTGAAAAATAAGCAAAGTTGAAGTCTCACTAGTTGGGTCCTAACAAGTGCTCAGGAACCAAGTTACTGGAAATCTTACCCTCTCACATGATCTATACGCAACGCTAATATTTTGGCATAATCTTTTTGGTAACCTGTATGAATTGCCTGAAAATGGGTAATTGTCCCAGTTAGTTGCACACATCACTGTCTTCTCCCCTTGTTTTAGCCCAACAGGCATTAGGCTACCTGTAGTTGGTGGTCCAAACAGAACTGAGAACTGTCAAAATTCCATGTAGTGGGGCTGGGAAGCTGGCTCAGTGGTAGAGTGTATGCCTTGAATTCATGAGGCCCTGGGCGCTAGACTTGAGCTGAAGAGCTGAGGGGCAGCGCCCAGGCCCAGATTTCAGGCCCCACGACCAGACCCTCCCCGCCCCCCCAAAAAAAAATAGCAGCTCAGGGACAGTGCCCAGGCCCTGAGTTCAAGCCCCAGGACTGGCCAAGTAAATAGAATAAAAACCTTTGACATGAATACAAAAAGACAACTAGGACATAGCATGACCTACAGAGTGTGTTCCTTGTGATTTGACAATATGATGAAACTCTTGTTAGCTGGGTTCTACAGAAGTCTGTGCAGTAAGGAGGATGAATGGCTTGTAACCACACTTCCCTCATGTTTGCAATGCTTCTTACAATAAGGCATTGGGCAGAATCACTTATTAACGCTTACTGAGCCAGGCACAGGTAGCTTCTGTAATTGTAGTTACTTAGGAAGTTGAGAACAGAGAATCACAATTTGAAGCCAGACTGGGGAAAAAAGTCTATGAGCCTCTTATCTTCAAATAACCACCAAAATGCAAGAAGTAGAGCTGTAGCTCACTTGGTAGAGCACCAGTCTTGAGCAATAAAGATAACAGACAGTGCCCAGGCCCTGAGTTCAAGCTCTAGTCTGGTACCGATACACAAAAAAGAAGCTTACTGATACCCTAATGTTCCACAGATAGTGCTGTATTTGTTCACTGTACTTTGGAAAGAAATAAGAGTAATCTGGCTATTCTTTTTTTTTTTGATTGGTCATGGGTCTTGAACTCTGGGCCTGGGTACTGTCCCTCAGCTCTTCAGCTCAAGGCTAGCGCTCTACCACTTGAGCCACAGCACCCCTTCCAGTTCCAGTTTTCTGGTAGTTAATTGGAGATAAAAAGTCTCATGGACTTTCTTGCCTGGGCTGGTTTTGAACTGCAATCCTCAACTCTCAGCCTCCTGAGTAGCTAGAATTATAGGCGTGAGCCACTGGCATCCAGCTTAATCTGGCTATTCTAAGGGTCTTGTTTGAAATTATTTTATAGCATAGTGTTATTTCATTTACATGGGGCTCTAAAATTAATTTAAAAAGTTATTGACACGGCACTTTCACAAAAATGGAACATTACATCATAAAAGCCTATGCAATCTCAAGGGAATAGTCAAAACAATTTAGAAAGAATATGATTGGAGGACTCACACATCCTAGTTTTAAAACATACGATAGGCCAGATGCTGGTGGCTCATGCTTGTAATCCTAGTTACTCAGGAGGCTAAGATCTGAGGATTGTGGTTTAAAACCAGTTTGGGTAGGACCATCCATGAGAGTCAGGGACATTGTCCAGTCCATAAATTCAAGCCCCAGAATGGCATTAAAAAAATAACAAAAATAAAATGCCTTTTAGAGCTACAGTAATCTAAACAATGTGTTACTATGAAAAAGCTATTTAGACTAAAGGAAAAGAACAGAAAAAATAGAAATAAACCCTTGTGTAGAGGCTGGGAAGTTGGCTCAGTGGTAGAGCACTTGCCTCGCATGCTCCAGGCCCTGGGTTCGATTCCTCAGCACCACATAAGCAAAAAGAAAAAAGCCAGAAGTGGCGCTGTGGCTCAAGTGGTAGAGTGCTAGCCTT